TACTTTCGATTCATTATCGATATCATAATGCATACACAACACGGCGAAGAAATCAATTCATCAGAACGTTTACAATTAGTCGTATGAGGGCCTCATCAGGCGACTAAATTCTACTGCACTAATCAATTCATCCGAAAAAAAAAATGTACAGTTCACTCAGCGAACACTTTTCCTGGCAACGTGATAAATGTAAGAATCAACTCAAGTGGGTTAATTAAAAGAATACTTGGAGCGTATTTCTTGAGCATATTGAATTCAGATTCTCTTGATGGATTGTCCACTATATGAACTGAGAATAAATCACCTTAAAATCAAATAAATATTAAAATGAAAATAAAATAAAAGGATCAGATTGATGCAAATTTTCGCAATGTAGTGAACAAAATACTATCCATATCAAATCCATCTAATCCTAAGATAAAACTGAAAAACAGTTCGTTTTGCTTTTCAAAACTTTTCTGATAGAGTATACTTGAAGTAATGATGGCTGAGAGGTTATTTGCTGGATGTCATTTGAGCCTTGAAAATGCGGATATTTCACATTCGATGATGTAGATAAATAATGTAGACGTAAATTTAGATAAATAAATTCTAGTGCAATAATGTAGATGAATAATGCAATAGATGCATAGGACAAGAAAGTCATTGAAAGTGCACTGAACTTGGATGATTTTTTAAATCCGAACAGGCCCGTGAATGAAGTGGTTTCATAAAGAGCATAGTGATGAATAAAAATATAAAAAATGAAAATAAACCGAGAATGGAAAAGAGATCGTTGCCAAGAAATGGGAAACCAGGCCGATTTGCCAGCATTATAATCCGGAAATCAGGATGTAACGGTATCGAACGATCACCTCGCGAAATGTTCTTCGGTTCAATGACGCGGCCATCAGCCAATCTCATCACCTGCATGTTAAATTCGATATTCATATAACTTTCACAAAATAATCAATTACAATTCACTAAATTCACCAAATAAGCACTAAATTACTCAAATTCATCAAATAAGCACTAAATTACTCAAATTCCTGCTGTGACCGTAATCAACAATGCACTGATTTTGTTCTATAGAATAGTGGTGAATGACAAGTGACGCAATATGGAATATGACAGTTGACAATGCACAATCTTCGAAGTGATTGTAAAATTGAAGGGAACAATAAAAGAAGAAGCTAACTCCAGTGTCAAGCAGTGATTTAAGAACAGCCACCACATGTAAAGGTGCCTTATCCGCCTCGTCAATCACCAGCACATTACCCTCCCGTGCTGCACGCACCAACGGTGAATCCTCTAATATCAAACGACCATCTATCACTGTGCTATGCACCGTCAAACTTTGCACTGTCGTATCCCTCCAATCAACAAAAAATTTATTATGCACACGAATACGAAAGCAAACAATGTGAACCTATTTATACACTGAATATCTCTACTTTATTTTCGCTTAATTTATTCACCAGCTGAAACTCCGACGAATTCCAAACTTCATCATCAAGTGATTCCTCTCAGATTGCAACATTGTAAAGGTAAAAGAAGACATGATCACGTTTTGAAAAAGAATCGCAGGTGTATTAATACCTGTGCAGTTGCAGGTATTGACGAGGACGGTTGATCAAATGAAGAAATCGATCTGTGACTTTGTTTTTACCCACTCCTTGATTGCCAATCAAGAGTAAATGCGATCCAAGTTCCATATCACGGGCCATATCGCTCATCACGGCCACATGCTAAAAGATCGAATGATCCTCCCAACGTGAAACGTTTTACCATCCGTATGGTGCATTCGATTAAAAATTAATGATTTCAATCTGTTATATCACAATTGAAGTCGCAAAATTTCGAATATGTTGCACAAGAAAAGCATTAAAAATAATTTAAATTTCTCGATAAAATTTGTCGAACTGAGATTGATTAAGAAGAATAGTTATTCAAGCAGGATTCCAGATGGCGGGAGTCTCGCAATAGTTTGCCCACTGAACTGATAACTGCATTACAGCACTGGCATTTATTAACAAGTATTCCAACAGAAGTGAGTAGGGAATGTCAAAATTGATCATTAACTGGAAATGAAGGAAGATACCTGAGCATTATCGTAGAATAACACATCCGGAACCATTGTTCTATCAGAATTCTCATTGCGACGAACCACTGACGTACCAATACGAACATGATCCGATTTCAAAAGTTCTGCAGTTTTGATAGCGTCTTACGAAGTCTTTTATTTTTTTTCAATTTTTTCGAAAAAATACCGAATGGAAAAACTTGTTGAAGGAGACCAGAATAGTTAACAAAAAAAACAACATAAACATGACTGCACCATTCGGTGGCGATACGGAAGGCAAGGTGGCATTTTCTGATCGATTGTCGATGTTTGCATCTCGAAGTGCCTTCTCAAATAGATCATGGGTAATGACGGGCAAAAATCTCGAGAGTGCAGCTCTTGATAGTGCAGCTGTTATATCCTCATCTCGATGCATCGCACTCCTTCCGATTATATGCACTAATTTCCGTAGCGACAACGATCCAGCAACATCTCGCAACTAGAATTCATATTCTCGTTCCACTGTAAAATGAGATGACCCTCTAAACTGACTGCAACATTTTCCTCACCTCAAATCTTATTCCATGTTCCCGTTCATCTTTATCACTAAGCAACAACTTATGTTTCATTCTTTTTTTTGCAAAATTCATATATTTACGTTTGTAATAATCTCATGATGGACTCTCACTGGAATCATTAATATCGTACTTTAGAATCTAGAATGATCGAAAACGAGAAATAGGAAGCATGGAAAAAGCCGTCTTTGTAATCTTAAGTAGGGTGCTCAAAGGGGTTAATGAATAACACATTAAGCAATGTAATAGCCTTAAATGTGAACGTTTAATTAAAAATAGAGACATACACCAGTATCAGATGAACGATGAAGTGATTCAACAAATTTTATCACGTTTCTCGTTTGTTTAGGATCCGCATTCGGAACGAGACTCTCGATGATATGATGTTGTGCATCGATAGAAAGTGCTTTCATGACATGGAATGGGAACAGCGACAGCACTTGTTCATTCATCCAACCAGATTTATTCTCCGAATCACCAATTGCGATTATTCGGAACGATGGATCAATCTCAAACACTCCCCTGAAATATTGTCAAAATTGACAGGTGACATCTTGGGACAAACGAATTTCCACAACAAATATAAGCAAGTGGCTGTTCGTATGTGCTTTCGGTGGAAAATATAAAACAAGGAAAAGGCTATGAAAAAAAGGCTGGGACTGTAAAAATCAGCTCAGGATCATGAAAATAAGCGTAATCTTCACACTCAATTATTCTTCATTTTCGGGAGCATTTATTCGTCACCACAGATTCTTGCATATCGCGTTCGTTACACACGAATCACAGAGAACAATGAACACTTCTTAGAAATACAACAACACTGCGAACACTTTCCGCAAAATCACGAAAAAAAGATATGTAAGAATAACTTTTGCTCAAGTTGTTCCTTGCTAAGACCACACTGTTTGGCGATGAGGTTGAACTTCGATGAGTCGAGCAATCGATTGCCGTCAAAAAGATCAATTTGACGATGGTGAATTAATGGCGCCAATACCTAAAAATTTGATATCTCTCATGGATATTGTTTCAGATGCAATTAATTATTTCAATAATTTGCAATATTCAGACGCGTTCCAAAGATATGATCGATCACAATTGAATACCTCAAGCGCACTCCAGTGTATTCGTTCGATACCATCCAAAATACACAATCGCCCTTGCTTAGCACAGTCCACCAATACACTATCCTCCCAGACTGTATCACCATTCGGCAACATTCGTCGTTCTTGTAACAATTCACGGCTATTCATATCCTTCATTAAATGTTTCTGGTAAAAACTCAAACCAAACGCAATTATTTGAACACGCGATAATTGAGCATGTTATAATCTATTTTTGAAATTCGTATATCTCTAATGATGTGTTTTGACCATAAGACCATCATTTTATGACTTCATAGTCAAAGCGATAAGCAAAAGCTTCCCTTTCTCCATCTCTAAAGAAACATTTTCATAAAGTGAAACTGTAAAATGTGTTCGAAAGACTTTCATCTGAACATGATATTGAACAGAACCATAGAATATAATCGTTGAACTGACATGATAAAGGGTCATTGTACTGATCGAATAGCCCATTCGTTTCGCGAACTGTTCAACAACTGTTGTCTTACCGGAGCCTTTCGGACCGACCACACAGAAATCACCAACTGCGTGTGACATTGCCATATCAGCCAATAAACGATCATGCTCTACGTTGCTCACATACGGTTTCCATGAGGATTCTGCTGTGCGTTTGTGATCGCTTCCTTGTGGTGTCTTGAAACACATCAAATGTGTAACTCATCTTGTAATGAACAGTCGAACTAACTTCAACACAATGCGAATGAACACGGCAATTTTTCTTATTCAACCGAATTCAAAGCAATTACTTCTACTCAAGTTCAATATCATTTTATTGATCTCTGCAAAGTCATTGATCTCGAAATTATATGAATTTAACCAATTAATAAGAAATGCATCGCAGTACTTTGAAAGAAATTGTTTCATTATCCCAATGTATTGAAACTGCATCATTTTCAGAACCATCGTGCGCATCCAAGGTGACATGAGTCGGAGCTGGTTTTTCATCGGTAATGGTGAATTTCTGAAGAAATTCCTTCACTACCGGCACTTGGGAGCTTTTTCGAAGAAGCGTCTCATAGGGATAGCCCAAACCGAATATTTCTTCAGCTGAGCGAAACGGATTGAGATTCTGCAAAAAAAACTGCCTTAAACTTGACGCCATTAGAAAACATGATCAAACGAGTACGTTCAATCGAGTGAACCAAAGGATTTCTCCTTGAACCAATAGCAGAGAATCTGATAAGCGCTGTCGTGACTGAGCGCAGACCATACAAATCATCATGGTTGATGAGCCAGTGAAGCGGCTGAACGCATGGCAACAACGATATAAAAACATGAATAGAACATTTAAGTGAATTGTACTGTTTGTTTCGTGCATATAGCATGATAGATGTCATCCACTTACACATAAGATGTAAGATTTAAGATGATTTAAGATATACATGATGTGAATTTGAGATGTTTTTTTATTTGTTATTATTTTTACTTTTTTCACTCCAATACGATGTTAGAGCGCTCTGCCTTTCATGCTGTATTATTGCTTCTATATATTTTTTCTCGGCAATAAATCCTTCTATCTATCTATCTGATGGATTGTACGGTTTAAGCACACCATATTGCTG